AATCAGTCTTTCATGTGGCACTGTATCAAAAGCTTTGCTAAAGTCAAGGTACTTTATGGTACTATGCTGGAATAAAAAGATAGCAAATTTGTTAAACATGAACGGCCTTTTGTAAAACCATGATGCGACTCATTTATTAATTTAAGTTTTTCAATACGAAGACAAATTGTATTTGCAATTATCGATTCAAGTAACTTTCCCACAATAGACGTTAGGCTAATTTGCCGATAGTTTGATGCAAGTGACCTATCTCCTTTCTTAAAAATTGGTACCACATTAGCAACCTTCCATGACTCTGGCACTCTGCCTGACTCTATTGATTTATTAAATATGGTAGACAGTGGCTCACAAAGCTCCTCTTTGCATTCTTTAAGGGGGCGTTATTCGGGTATATTAAAGTTGTTATTTAGTGTGAATCATTATTTTTGACTAGTTGTATATGAAAAGGGCTACAATTGTTCGAAGTTTCAGCACTGTAGCCTAAATAGTAAGGGAGATTTTTAATTTTTTTATTTTTTTCAACGAATTTTACACATTTTCAAGTGTAAATTTACAACCACACCTTTCAGATATAATCATTCTATGACACTTTTCTGACACATTAACATATAATAAAGGATCTCTAGCAAAAGAATTTCCAAAAGTCTTTAGTTTTCCTAATACAAATAGTCTAAGTTCCCCCCAAAATTATGCAAATACATCATGTTTATTGCTATTATAAAGTCAATAAAGAACTCAAGATAAAAACATTTGCAAACGATTTTAGAAACATAAAATTTATATATAATGTGTAAGTTTCATGTAAATTGCATAAAAAATGAAAAAGATATTCATGTTCAAGTAACAAACTTTCAAGTAAAAAATAAAGTCTAAGGTGTTGCCCTCTGTGGCTGAAGTTGACATCAACCAATTTCCTCCAAAATTGGCACCCTTACAGATAGGCTTACGTGCAGTCAGGTGTATAAGTTTCATGCAAATCGCCCCATAAACAAAAGAGAGATAAAATTAAAAAAAAAAAAAAGTAAAATTTGACTTTTTTTTTAACTAAATTTTTTGTTAATAAAACTAATTATAATTTGTTTTTAATATATGCTATTGTGATACCTGTGAGTCATAGACATGATTTCAGTTGACATTTTTGTTTGATAATCTTTTTTGACCATTTTTGAAAATTTTTGACACATAATTCAATATTTTTTTTCATCCTTCCTATTTATGCTACGATGCTGAGACTTGGACTAAATGAAACCCTTTTCATATACAACTTATCAAAAAAGTTTGATTGAAATTGAACGAGTTTTCATTTTTTGCATATTTTGTGAATAACGCCCTCTTAAGCACCCTGGCAAACACTTCATCCGGCCATGGGGATTTGTTTGGTTTGAGTTTTATTTGTTTAATTACATCCTCCCTAGTAACTGCTAAACTAGTCAACCTGTCCTCGTCCCCACCCACATAGACTTGTTCGGCTGAAGGCATATTATTAAGCTCTTCTTTAGTAAATACAGATATAAAATATTTCTTACAAATACTACTCATCTCCTCGTCATTATCCGTTATTTGACCTGTCTCAGTTTTTAATGGACCTATCCTTTCCCCAGTCTTTGCTCGATATAACTGAAAAAACTTTAGGATTTGTCTTTGCTTGCCCTGCTATGCAAACTTCATAGTTTCTTTTTGCTTTCCTTATCTCTTTTTTAACATTTCTAACCAGTTGTAAGAATTCCTGCTCTAAACTGATTTCCCCATTCTAAATCCTTTTGTACCACGCTCTTTTTTTATCTATAAGGTTCTTCTGATCCTTTGTTATCCACTTTGGGTCATTAGTATTCGATCTATTCAATTTGTATGGTTCTACGTTCCTGTGCTCTGCTTAGAATATTTTTAAATAAGTGATATTTTGAATCCACATCGAAATCCCCTTTTACGTCACCAATCGCTGGGCTCATGTCTCGCTTCAAGACTGGCCCACCCCCCAAGCCCATGACTTTCCAATCTATTTGACCCAAAAAGATTCTTAGGCAACTGAAATCAGCTTTTCGAAAATCTGGCACTTTAATTAACAAAATTTTCTCCTACAGATCTATTCCATTCTATGCTAAATCTTATTTCTTTCTGATCACTGTTCCCTAGCTCACTCCCTATTTCGATGTCATTAATTTGTGTGTCCCTGTTAGTTAACGCTAAATCTAAAATATTATTTTAGCCCGAAATAAAAAATATTATTATCTGCCCGAAACGCTTTGCGTAATAGTGGCTTTAGGCATTGTATGTACTAGCTCTATCTATAAATCTATCCATTTTTGTAAAATCTCTTGTATGTATGTACCTTACCTGAATAAACATTATTTATTATTTTCCCGCATTGGTTCCATAATGTGTTGACCAAGAAAGCAATCGTCAATTAATTATAGAAAATATGCTTTATTATTCCCTGTTCTATTAGACCAATTTATTCCACTAAAATTAAAGTCACCCATGACACAAATACTGCTAGATCTAGATGCTCTAGATATTTCATCCCATAAGTGCATTACTTCCATCCTAAGTTTGGTGGCCTGTATATAACTCCTATTAAAAGATTATTTGTCCTTTCGTTTAATTCTATCCAAATAGTTTCTGTATGTGGCTCAGTTTTGATTCCCTCTAAGACTACATTTCAAATTTTCGCTAACATACTGTATATGGCTACTCCCCCCTCCTCGTCTAATATATCTGTGTGAAACAGTTTAAATCCATTTATTTGATATTCACCTAATAGTTCCCTATTTTCTACATTCATCCACGTTTCGGTAAGTGCAATAATATCAATTCTTTCTGTGCAGACAAGAGCATTTAAATTGTTTGTTTCTTAGACTTCTACTGTTAATGTAATATACCCTACAACCTGTTCTCGCACTTTCTTACAGTCAATATTGACTTATTTAATACGTGCATATGTGACATACTAAACATACTAGTTTACCTTGAAAAGCTTCATAGAAAACACCAACCTTACCTAACCTCCTTAGTATGTTAAGATAAGCATCTTATTGCTTCGTAATTACAATTATTACTTAACCTATACCTATAAAAGGTATATACCTATTATAGGTATAACCTATACCTATAATAGGTTAAGTAATAATTGTAATTACGAAGCAGTAAGATGCTTATCTTAACATACTGTACTAAGAAAGTTAGGTAAGGTCGGTGTTTTCTATGAAGCTTTTCAAGGTAAACTAGTATGTTTAGTATGTCACATATGCACATATTTAATAAGTCAATATTGACTATACGAAAGTGCAAGAACGGGTTGTACCCTAAGTGCACTGTTATTTTGAGGCCCTTCTCTTTCCCTTATCATTTTTGCCAATTTGTTTCTCCCACAAACACATACTTTTATTACCTCCTTCCTCCATATCTATTCCCATACCACTATCTACTAACAGTTTAAACCCAAACAAACGCCTCCAACTACTGGTTTCAACGAGTTCGCAACAACAACAACCTCAGCCCTCGATAGATGCACCCCATCTTGAGCATACATTCCATTTCTTCCATAGAAGTGTTCCCAGTTATCTATGAAAGATATTGCAAATCAAATTTGATTTGCAATATCTTTCCAGCCGGCAATTGACACCAAGTGCCCTCGACAACCATTCATTTCCAACTCCCTTTCTTGGAAGAATGCTACATATGAGCAGGATTCCTTCCTTGCTCCTAATTCTATGGCTGTTTTAAACCTCTGGTAAGCTTCAGCCCATCACCCATATGAGTGTCCACACACATCACAACACACCCCAGCCTCGAGCCTCAGACCATCACCCATATGAGTGTCCACACACATCACAACACACCCCAGCCTCGAGCCTCAGACCATCACCCGTATGAGTGTCTACACACATCACAACACACCCCAGCCTCGAGCCTCAGACCATCACCCGTATGAGTGTCCACACACATCACAACACACCCCAGCCTCGAGCCTCAGACCATCACCCGTATGAGTGTCTACACACATCACAACACACCCCAGCCTCGAGCCTCAGACCATCACCCGTATGAGTGTCCACACACATCACAACACACCCCAGCCTCGAGCCTCAGACCATCACCCGTATGAGTGTCTACACACATCACAACACACCCCAGCCTCGAGCCTCAGACCATCACCCGTATGAGTGTCCACACACATCACAACACACCCCAGCCTCGAGCCTCAGACCATTACCCATGAGTGTCCACACACATCACAACACACCCCAGCCTCGAGCCTCAGACCATTACCCATGAGTGTCCACACACATCACAACACACCCCAGCCTCGAGCCTCAGACCATCACCCATATGAGTGTCCACACACATCACAACACACCCCAGCCTCGAGCCTCAGACCATCACCCATATGAGTGTCCACACACATCACAACACACCCCAGCCTCGAGCCTCAGACCATCACCCATATGAGTGTCCAGACACATCACAACACACCCCAGCCTCGAGCCTCAGACCATCACCCATATGAGTGTCCACACACATCACAACACACCCCAGCCTCGAGCCTCAGACCACCACCCATATGAGTGTCCACACACATCACAACACACCCCAGCCTCGAGCCTCAGACCATCACCCATATGAATGTCCACACACATCACAACACCCCACAACACACTCCCAGCCTCGAGCCTCAGAACAATATGTCCCTAAATCCAAGAGGACACCTTCCAGACTTGCTCCAGCTCTGGGGTCCAGCCTCTACCTTCCCCTGCTCCACACCCCCCCCCCCCCTTCCCCTCCCTCCTCCACTCCCACTCCCTCCTCCTCCACACTCCATAACCCAAGCTAAAAATAGGAGTAAAATAGAGAGATGGTGGCCAGTTGCCGTGACAATATCAGCCAAACACAGTCTTGCCTCCCGACCTCCCTGCCTGACCCACTGTCAAACACACGCCCATATCTCCCTCCCACAGTGGTAATTCTTCCGCAGTTCTTCGTGCCGCACTTCCCAGGCTCACCTTCTCCAGAAGATTGGCGATGTGGTAGGAAACACTCGCCATTTTCGCGGTTTGTGTGGGGAAATATCGCCGAGATCTCACGGGCTCTGTCCGACCTCCTCCTCGATGCCGATGACACGCATTTCCCAACGGTGATGGCGATCGCTACATTTATGTCATTTACTGCCGTCTTCGGCCGCTTTCTAACGATTATTGCAATCAATGGCGTGTGTTTGGATATATTTTATTGTTCCAGTGGCTGCTATTTGGTAGAGGTATAATATTTTTGTAAGTGCATTTCTTAATTGATCACAACCAAATAACAAACAGCTGCGATTGGCTGCTGAGAATGGCGCCAACTTTGAAATATACCATCTCGCATATATGACTTGTCCAGCATAACGACACAGACAAGGCAGCTAAATCTACATGCTAGGAACCTGAAATTGAGGTGGATATGGGCATTCCAATCCCTGCTGTAAAAGCCGCAACATTTCAGAAAATTAGGGAAGATGAAGAGCAGTCACTGACACACAAAGGCCAGAAAGAACGAGTATAAAGAGTTATGACATGTTTAGAACCGAGATTTATATGTACGGGGCAGCATGAAACATCCACTAGACAGTCGACAGTGTGATGTTGTAATTGCCAGAATTAGGATGGGATATCGATATCTATGACTGGTGGCTGCAGGTAATGAATCCCCCAATAGTAAACATCCCAATTGTAAACTATGTGAATAAGAGCTGGGACATACTCTCCAACACTATATATGTGATTGCCCTGTTATAAGTGACTTCAGACCTAATGGTATGAGATACTTTGAGCTCTGTAATTATTTCATACACTCAGGAATATTGGAAGATATTATTGTGCAGTTCCCAGATTTTGCTAGTGGAGAGTAACAGATCATTAGCCTTACATTTTTATGTTCTCACCTGAATTTTAGTCATAGTTGATTTATTTGTATTGAGGCTGGTATTTTCTCCCCAGATTCCATGTATGACTAACCACCCTGTGAGATGGAAAAGGGGGAACCATGTTCCCCAACGTTTTCTCTTTTTTTTTTATTCCTTTTTCTAACACAATTTATATTTTAATCCCAGTTACTATTAAGTTTTAGTCTAAGTGTTTTCCCCCCACACCTTGCCCGAAACGCTAAGCGTATTAGTGGCTTTAGGTTTTGTATTTACTAGCTCTAGCTATAAATACAACATTATGTTTGTTAATTCATCATCTATGTATGTACTTTTCTGAATAAAAAATTTAATTTAATTTTAATTTTAATGGTTGAACCTATAGTTAGTTCTTGATCCCCATTGTGTAATATCTCATATAAAATAGGGTAGCAGCACATTGCTGTAATTACCTAAGTGTAGTTACAGGATGAGAGCTACGCTCGTGGTGTCCCGTCTTCCCAGCACTCTTTGTCATATAACGCTTTGAAAGTACTGACGGTCTTGGCCGCCACCACCTTCTCACCTAACTTGTTCCAACCGTGTACCACTCTGTTTGCGAAAGTGAATTTTCTTATATTTCTTCGGCATCTGTGTTTAGCTAGTTTAAATCTATGACCTCTTGTTCTTCAAGTTCCAGGTCTCAGGAAATCTTCCCTATCGATTTTATCAATTCCTGTTACTATTTTGTATGTAGTGATCATATCACCTCTTTTTCTTCTGTCTTCCAGTTTTGGCATATTTAATGCTTCTAACCTCTCCTCGTAGCTCTTGCCCTTCAGTTCTGGAAGCCACTTAGTAGCATGTCTTTGCACCTTTTCCAGTTTGTTGATGTGCTTCTTAAGAAAAGGGCACCACACAACAGCTGCATATTCTAGCTTTGGCCTAACAAAAGTCATGAACAATTTCTGTAGTGTATCGCCATCCATGTATTTAAAAGCAATTCTGAAGTTAGAAAGCATTGCATAGGCTCCTTGAACAATATTCTTTATGTGGTCCTTAGGTGATAGTTTTCTATCTAGAACCACCCCTAGATCTCTTTCGTTCTCAGAACTCTCGTTCTCTCAATATCAGAATTCTTTAAAGATTTCTCACATAATATATAGGTTGTGTGGGGTTTATGTTCTCCTATTCCACATTCCATAACATAGCATTTATTAACATTAAATTCCATTTGCCAAGCGGTGTTCCATATACTTATTTTGTCCAGGTCATCTTGAAGGGCATGACAATCATCTTAGTTTCTTATCCTTCCTATTATCTTAGCATCGTCAGCAAACATGTTCATATAATTTTGTATACCAACTGGTAGATCATTTATGTAGACAATAAACATCACTGGTGCAAGAACTGAACCCTGTGGTACTCCACTTGTGACATTTCTCCAGTCCGACACATTGCCGCTGATCACCGCCCTCATTTTTCTATCAGTCAGAAAAATTTTCATCCATGTTAGAAGCTTACCTGTCACCCATCCAATATTTTCCAGTTTCCAGAACAACCTCTTATGTGGAACTCTGTCGAAAGCCTTTTTTAGGTGTATACCTAATTTTGCTAATTAAAAATAAAGGTATCTCTCTTCCTCCGCGCTCTACGCATAAGCGACCCTCAGTTACTTGATTCTGAAATTTCCTTTATCTACAAATCTTTCTCTCGCCTTGGTTAACCTTCACATTTTATCGACTGTTCTCAAGCTAAACGAAATTTCTTTTATCCTAAATCTGCTTCCAACACTAGTAGCACTGTGCTCTGTCTTCCCTTCATATCTGAAGTGAAAAATTCAAATTCAAATGTTTATTCAGGTAAAGTACATGCATAGAAGGGGTGATACAAATATTGGTGAATTTAAAGATAGAGCTAGTACAAACAATGCCTAAAGCCACTATTACGCAAAGCGTTTCGGGCAGGAAAAACACAAAAGACTAAAACTTAATACTAATTGAGATTAAAGTATAAAATGTGTTGAGAAAATATACAATAAAAAAGGGGGGAACATGGCAGAAAAACAGCAAAAATACAATTTGGTCGACAAACAGCATTGCTTAAAAATAACAGACATGGGTTGAACATTATACAATACAATACAATACAATACAATTTTATTTAGGTAAGGTACATACATACAATAAATTTTTACAAGGATTGTTTGACTTATAGGTAGAGCTAGTACATACAATGCCTAAAGCCACTATTACGCAAAGCGTTTCGGGCATGATAAACTTAAATGACAAGCTTAATACTAATTGAGCATAATGAGTAGAATGAAAACAAGAAATGAAAACATAGATGAAAAAGCAGCACAAATACAATTATGTCGACAAACAGCGCTCTTTAAAGAAAAAAACAGACATTGGTTGACAATAGAAGGGTAAGGTAGGTTACAGGGAATTTATTAGGTATAGCTTCGCTTTTAACTTAAACTGGTTGAGAGAGGTACAGTCTTTAACATGGTTGGGAAGGTCATTCCACATTCTGGGCCCCTTGATTTGTAGAGCATTTCTAGTTTGATTAAGTCGTACTCTAGGAATATCAAAAACTGTATTTATTTCTGGTGTGGTGCTCATGGGTTCTGTTACAACCTTCTACGAAGCTTTTGAGATCAGGATTGGCATTATAGTTTAGCGTTTTATATATGTATAATACACATGAGAGAATGTGAAGAGACTTAATGTCTAACATATTCAGAGATTTGAGTAGGGGTACCGAGTGATGTCTGGGGCCAGAATTGGATATTGTCCTAATAGCAGCTTTGTGTTGAGTAATTAGAGGACGTAAGTGATTTTGGGTAGTAGAGCCCCAAGCACAAATACCATAGTTGAGATATGGATAGATAAGGGAGTAATAGAGAGTCACCAGGGCAGGGCGTGGTACATAATATCTGATCTTAGAAAGAATGCCCACAGTTTTTGAAACTTTTTTTGATATGTTTAGTATGTGTCCCTGGAAATTCAGCTTGTGGTCAATGAGAATGCCAAGGAATTTGCCATCTAATTTGTTACAAATTTGGGTATTGTTTATTTTGAGATTTATTTGATTAGAGGATTTATTGCCAAACAGAATATAGAAGGTTTTGTCAATGTTAAGGGTGAGTTTGTTGGCAGTTAGCCACAGATGGACTTTATTTAGCTCAGTATTTACTGTGGCATTTAGAGCAAGGGGATCAGGACTGGAGTAAATGAAGGTTGTGTCGTCAGCAAATAGAATAGGTTTGAGGTGTTGTGAGGCATTTGGAAGGTCATTAATGTAGATGAGAAAGAGGAGAGGGCCAAGTATGCTGCCCTGGGGAACACCAATGTTGATGGGTAGGGTGGGAGAAATTGTATTATTCACAGAAACATATTGGAGCCTGTCAGTAAGGTAGGATTTGAGGTATTGTAGGGAGTGTCCTCTGACTCCATAATGATGTAATTTAAGAAGAAGGTTTTGGTGGTTGACAGTGTCAAAAGCTTTACGCAGGTCCACAAACAACCCAACAGGGAACTCATTTTTATCAAGAGCTGTATGAATCGAGTTAAGCATACTAATAAGTGCATCGTTAGTGCTTTTTTGGGTCTGAAGCCATATTGGCAAGGGCTAAGTATATTGAGTTTGGCTAGATATGAGTAAAGCTGCTTATAGATTAGTTTTTCAAAAATTTTTGACAAGTTTGGCAGGATAGATATAGGTCTGTAGTTGTTAACATCTGTGAGATCACCACATTTGTGGACAGGCGTTACTCTCGCTTTTTTTAGAATATCTTCGAAGGTTTGGAGTTCAAGTGACTTGTTGAAGAGCAAAGCAATAGCAGGGGCTAAAGATCTGGAGGCTTTTTTGTAAATTAAAGTTGGTATCTCCTCAAGGGCACCAGACTTGGTTTTAAGGGAAAGGATTATCTCATTGACGTCAGTGGAATTAATAGGCTTTAGGTACAGAGACTGTGGATAGTTACCTGAAAGATAGTCCTTAATGTCTGTACTGGAAGATGGAATATCATTTGCAAGGGATGAACCAATGGAAGAGAAGAACCTATTGAACTCAATAGCAGAATCAGAGGCTGAAAGCTGACCATCGTTATTAGACAGGAGAGTCGGTTTGTTATTTAAAGACTTCTTTGATCCCAATATTTGAGAAATTGTTCTCCAAGTTTGTTTAATGTTGCTCTTTATTTGGGTAAATTTATCTTCGTAGTACTTAGTTTTGGCTCGTCTAATT